AAGCGGTTCCCTCCCTCAACGCTGAACCGGGGGGGGGGGGGGGGTAAATTCCACATTCCCACGACGAGGGCCAGTTCCACAAGTAAGACGATTTGGGTTCTTTGGCAGACAGGCTCGGCTCGCCATCGGAACGTGGCAAGTGAGAGATACCCGGGTGGTGAACTCAGCCCGTCATTCATTCGGGGTCGTTCAAATAGGTACCAATTGAAAACTCGCGCTTGTCCTACTGAGACAGCCGGTCTCCGGCACATGAATGTGGAATTTGCACGGGTCCATCAAAATGAACCCAGCCCCACCGTCAGCGCGCTGGAGAAGGCGGCCACTGCCTCGCGCCTCGCGTCTCTGGGTGCCACCGTGTGCCAGGGGGGGGGGGGGACATCACGCGGAGCCACGCGTCATGCACCGCAGCTGCTGCTGCTGCAGGAGCTGCTGCTGGTGCTGCTGCAGGAGCTGCTGCTGCTGCAGGAGCTGCTGCTGGTGCAGGAGCTGCTTCTGCTGGTGCAGGAGCTGCTGCTGCTGCAGGAGCTGCTGCTGGTGCTGGTGCCGTGCGTGGTGCTGGAGGCCTCGCAGCCCCCGCCCGCGCCGCGGGCTTTGTGCTTCTCTAACTCTGCGTCCCGCGGCTTCTGCCTTTGGCTGCCGGTGGTTGTGCTTCGAGGTCAAATGAGTTTTGTGCCTTTTGTAGATAAAACAACAAATGTCATTTTGCGTAGCACGCCTCGCTCGAGTCTCTCTCTAAGACTCCTTACTTTGTGTTTTGTTTTCAGGACACGTGTCGACATTGCCTGGAAAGCGCGCTCGTCGCACTTCGTGTGGCTACGACCACGGAGACATCCCACGCCGGTGAGTGAGTGGTGCGTGAGTGAGTGGTGAGTGAGTTAGTGGTGAGTGAGTGGTGAGTGAGTGGTGAGTTAGTGGTGAGTGAGTTAGTGGTGAGTGAGTGGTGAGTGAGTTAGTGGTGAGTGAGTGGTGCGTGAGTGGTAAGTGAGTGGTGAGTGAGTTAGTGGTGAGTGAGTGGTGAGTTAGTGGTGAGTGAGTGGTGAGTGAGTGGTGAGTGAGTTAGTGGTGAGTGAGTGGTGAGTTAGTGGTGAGTGAGTGGTGAGTGAGTGAGTGAGTGGTGAGTGAGTGAGTGGTGAGTGAGTGGTGAGTGAGTGGTGAGTTGGTGAGTTAGTGGTGAGTGAGTGGTGAGTGAGTGGTGAGTGAGTGGTGAGTGAGTGAGTGGTGAGTGAGTGGTGAGTGAGTGAGTGGTGAGTGAGTTAGTGGTGAGTGAGTGGTGAGTGGTGCGTGAGTGGTGAGTGGTGAGTGAGTGGTGAGTGAGTGGTGAGTGAGTGTTGAGTGAGTTAGTGGTGAGTGAGTTAGTGGTGAGTGAGTGGTGAGTGAGTGGTGAGTTAGTGGTGAGTGAGTTAGTGGTGAGTGAGTGGTGAGTGAGTTAGTGGTGAGTGGTGCGTGAGTGGTGAGTGAGTGGTGAGTGAGTTAGTGGTGAGTGAGTGGTGAGTTAGTGGTGAGTGAGTGGTGAGTGAGTGGTGAGTGAGTGAGTGGTGAGTGAGTGGTGAGTTAGTGGTGAGTGAGTGGTGAGTGAGTGAGTGGTGAGTGGTGCGTGAGTGGTGAGTGAGTGGTGAGTGAGTTAGTGGTGAGTGAGTGGTGAGTTAGTGGTGAGTGAGTGGTGAGTGAGTGGTGAGTGAGTGAGTGGTGAGTGAGTGAGTGGTGAGTGAGTGGTGAGTGAGTGTTGAGTGAGTGAGTGGTGAGTGAGTGGTGAGTGAGTGTGAGTGAGTTAGTGGTGAGTGAGTGGTGAGTTAGTGGTGAGTGAGTGGTGAGTGAGTGGTGAGTGAGTGAGTGGTGAGTGAGTGGTGAGTGAGTGGTGAGTGAGTGATGAGTGAGTGAGTGATGAGTGAGTGGTGAGTGAGTGGTGAGTGAGTGGTGAGTGAGTGGTGAGTGAGTGAGTGGTGAGTGAGTGGTGAGTGAGTGAGTGGTGAGTGAGTGGTGAGTGAGTGATGAGTGAGTGGTGAGTGAGTGGTGAGTGAGTGGTGAGTGATGGTGAGTGAGTGGTGAGTGAGTGAGTGAGTGATGAGTGAGTGGTGAGTGAGTGAGTGGTGAGTGAGTGGTGAGTGAGTGAGTGGTGAGTGAGTGGTGAGTGAGTGGTGAGTGAGTGAGTGGTGAGTGAGTGGTGAGTGAGTGAGTGATGAGTGAGTGGTGAGTGTCGATGTGGCGGCGCTCGGAAACGCGGACGGATGGGTGATTGGCCGACTCGTGCTCCTGCTGCTGCTCCTCCTGCTGCTGCTGCTGTTGCTCCTGCTGCTGTTGCTCCTGCTGCTGTTGCTGTTGCTCCTGCTGCTGTTGCTCCTGCTGCTGCTCCTCCTGCTGCTGTTGTTGTTGCTCCTCCTGCTGCTGCTCCTCCTGCTGTTGCTGTTGTTGCTGTTGTTGCTTCTCCTCCTGCTGCTGTTGCTGTTGCTGTTGTTGCTTCTCCTCCTGCTGCTGCTGTTGCTGCTGCTGTTGTTGCTGCTGCTGTTGCTGTTGTTGCTCCTGCTGCTGCTGCTGTTGCTGTTGTTGCTTCTCCTCCTGCTGCTGCTGCTGTCTTTCTGGTCACCTCGTGCGGGTCGCCTACTCGAGTCTCGGCAGCGTGAGCCACCAACTCCTCGTCGGAGGTGAACGCGTTCGGCACAATTTCGATCGCGGTATTTAAAACTGCCCAGGGCCACAACGCGTCGCGTGCGTTTGACATTGTGCCCGATGTCCCCGTGTACCGACACCAGACGAGCGTGTTAAAGCTCTCGCGCTCCCGTCGCCTGCGTCTCAGCCACCCGTCAGGCTGAGCAACTCAATTCGCGTCGCGGTGACCGCGTGGCTCCGGTCTGCCGGCGATAACGGGCGGAGGGGGGGAGGGGGGGCGCCATAATTATCCACACTATTTCTGCAACCCACGCGCGGTCCCCAGCGCCGTCCGGGCCACCAGCGTGACGTCCCGCGTGCTGTGACATCCACTTAGAAGCCGTCCCCTGGTCTCACACAACCAACACACACACACACCCTGGTCTCACACAACCAACACACACACCCTGGTCTCACACAACCAACACACACACACACCCTGGTCTCACACACACACCCTGGTCTCACACAACCAACACAACACACACACACACCCTGGTCTCACACAACCAACACACACACCCTGGTCTCACACAACCAACACACACACACACCCTGGTCTCACACAACCAACACACACACCCTGGTCTCACACAACCAACACACACACACACCCTGGTCTCACACAACACACACACCCTGGTCTCACACACACACCCTGGTCTCACACAACCAACACACACACACACACCCTGGTCTCACACAACACACACACACACCCTGGTCTCACACAACACACACACACACACACACCCTGGTCTAACACAACACAACACACACACACACCCTGGTATCACACAACCAACACCTACACACCCTGGTCTCACACACACACCCTGGTCTCACACAACCAACACACACCCCCTGGTCTCACACAACCAACACACACACACCCTGGTCTCACACAACACACACACACACACCCTGGTCTCACACAACACACACACACCCCCTGGTTTAACACAACACACACACACCCCCTGGTCTCACACAACCAACACTTACACACCCTGGTCTCACACAACCAACACTTACACACCCTGGTCTCACACAACCAACACACACACACCCTGGTCTCACACAACACACACACACACCCTGGTCTCACACAACCAACACACACACCCCCTGGTCTCACACAACCAACACACACACACACCCTGGTCTCACACAACCAACACACACACACACACCCTGGTCTCACACAACACACACACACACACCCTGGTCTCACACAATCAACACACACACCCTGGTCTCACACAACACACACACCCACACCCTGGTCTCACACAACCAACACACACACACCCTGGTCTCACACAACCAACACACACACCCTGGTCTCACACAACACACACACACACCCCCTGGTCTCACACAACCAACACTTACACACCCTGGTCTCACACAACCAACACACACACACCCTGGTCTCACACAACCAACACACACACACACACCCTGGTCTCACACAACCAACACACACACACCCTGGTCTCACACAATCAACACACACACCCTGGTCTCACACAACACACACACACACACCCTGGTCTAACACAACACACACACACGCACCCTGGTCTAACACAACACACACACACGCACCCTGGTCTAACACAACACACACACACACACCCTGGTCTCACACAACACACACACACACACCCTGGTCTAACACAACACACACACACGCACCCTGGTCTAACACAACACACACACACGCACCCTGGTCTAACACAATCAACACACACACACACCCTGGTCTCACACAACCAACACAAACGCGCATCGCTCTTTTCCTTATGCCACATCTCTCAGATTTGGCACAGCGCAGCCAACCTCCATGCACCACTCCCCTCGTCCGCGTTGGGTCTTCCCCTGGCCGCCTGCCTCTGGGTGCCGTTCGACCTCCGCCTCGGCCTCCTGCCTTCCTCTTCTACCCTGCACACGAGTCCCACCCATCACTACCTCCAAGTTGCCTACCCTATCCTCCTCTACCCTGCACACGAGTCCCACCCATCACTACCTCCAAGTTGCCTACCCTATCCTCCTCCACCCTCCACACGAGTCCCACCCATCACTACCTCCAAGTTGCCTACCCTATCCTCCTCTACCCTGCACACGCGTCCCACCCATCACTACCTCCAAGTTGCCTACCCTATCCTCCTCCACCCTCCACACGCGTCCCACCCATCACTACCTCCAAGTTGCCTACCCTATCCTCCTCCACCCTCCACACGCGTCCCACCCATCACTACCTCCAAGCTGCCTACCCTATCCTCCTCCACCCTCCACACGCGTCCCACCCATCACTACCTCCAAGTTGCCTACCCTATCCTCCTCTACCCTGCACACGCGTCTCACCCATCACTACCTCCAAGTTGCCTACCCTATCCTCCTGCACCCTGCACACGCGTCCCACCCACCACTACCTCCAAGGTGTCCACCCTATCCTCCTGCACCCTGCACACGATTCCCGTGGTTGTGTTATAACTTCCATCATTATTCTGCTTGTTTACACAAGAACGCCTCAATGAGTCTCGAAGCTCTCTTTCAAGCGCTCACAGTAGGGGGGGGGCGATATTGCTGCGTGTGCAGTCCCGACTGAATCATTTACAGGTAATATTTCAGCATTGGGACGTTGGGCCAATACCAATTACATTGCATTTATTTTTGCTCGGGGAGGAAACCGAAGAACCCGGAAACAAACAACCCATGCAAGGACAGAGAGAGAGAAAACGTACAGACTCCACATTTAAAGGGCACCCGTGCCAGGAATCGAACCCAGGCCCTTCTCACTGTGCGAGACACGAGCATTGCCACTGCACTGCCAGCCTGCTCGCCCTATAACATACGGAACAAAGAAGGAGAGAGAGAGACGTGATATGGAAGCGCTCTGCGTAGCTTGAGACTCTGCTATGCCCTCACTGGGGCAGCGCGAAGTCGAAGGGGACAGACGTCGCACCGCGAGGCTGCCCCGGTCGGCTCCAGCCTCTGGTGCGTCTGCCAGGCTCAACGCGTTCCTCCTCAACGTGTTCCTCTCAACGGGCGCGCGTTCACTCTAAATAGGCCCCTTTAGTGGATCGAACAGATGGCCGCATCACGGCGATGATGACGATAGCCACCAGACGCGAACCTGCTGACACAAGAGAGCTGATCGCGTACACGCGGAGACCCTTCCTCCAGACCCTTGCTCGACAAACTAAAACTACTAGCGGGAGGTGGACGGGGGGCGATCGCTCTCACCGGTCGTGACAATTTTACATTTCCCGGTAACCGTCTCCGAAATTGAACGTCGCGTGCGCACGTTGCCGCAGACGAATGGCTCGGTCGATAAAGTGCAGCCGTTACTCAGCGGCGACAACGCTGGGATGCACGGCCACGCGTTGCACTCAACGCCGCGCGACTCGCTTGTGAGGACATTTGGCGGTCGTCAATTCTTCACGGCGCGACGACGACGGCTTCTCTCCCGGCTGTGCTGCATTCTACTCTTTGCTCGGTTACTTTGAGATGCAAATTTGCGCGAACGCTGCTCTGTAAAATAAACGTCCCTGTTATTATTATTTAGCATTTGAATAAATAGATAAAACCCGCGTTGACGCTTCCCTGCACTCGCATACTTGATGTACCGTGCATGTTACTTATCGCACGTGCACCGCGGGGCCTTTTGCCAGACGCCCGTCTCAGTGGGGTGGGGCCTCAGCTTGCCACTTGGTCGTTACAGCAACAACAAAACACCACCACGTGTCGGACGGCGAGATTCTACGCTCGAGCGAAAACGAGTCGAGAGGCGTCGGTGTCAAAGTTCTAGAGGCGGAACCACGTTGGCGATGCGCGGGTTCGCGTCCAGCTCGTATCTGTAATTGTACTCCTCAATCTGGTCGCGGCACGCGTCTCGGATGTGGGTCAGCCACTTCTTGATGCCCCTGCGGTTCAGGTAGAGCACGAACAGGAAGATGACTCCGATGAGCGCCACCACGATGCCGAGCAGCACGTAGGAGGCGACGGGCTCCCCCGCGCAGCCCCGCAGCGTCTGCAGTGAGAGCAGCGACGTGGTGTTGAAGACCGCGGTCGGACCCGCGGATGCGCCTCCTCCTGCTGCTGCTGCTGCTGAGGACGAGCCCGGCGTGACGGTGCACACGAGGCTGCTCGCGTCCCTCGCCTTGTTCCGGCCCCGGTTCCTGTCGGTGAGCCACAGCACCGTCTCCGCCAAGTGGCAGTCGCACACGAACGCGTTGCCCGCCAGCCACACCTCGCGGAGCCGCGGCAGGGAGTTCATCTCCTCCAGCGTGGCGTTGCTGAGACGCCGCAGGGCGTTTCGGCGCAGGTCCAGCACCTCCAGGGCGCGCAGGGCGGACAGAGTCCCGGGCGCCAGCTCGCGTATCCCGTTGCCGCTCAGTCGCAGCACGGCGAGGTTGCCGAGGCGCGCCTCGGAGACGGCGGCGAGGAGCGCGGCGGCGGCGCCCGAGGCGGAGTCGCCGTGGAGCGCGCGGCTCAGCTCCAGGGTGCGGAGCTCGCGGAGGTCCGCGAAGGCCTCCGGGGAGATGTTCCGCAGGCCGTTGTCGCTCAGGTCCAGGGATTCGAGCGATAGCGGCGGCGCCGGGAAGGAGGCGCGGTCGAGAGTGTCGATGCCGCTGCGACTGAGGTTGAGGACGCGCAGATTGGGCAGCCGGGTGCCGTTCCAGTCGAGGGTCCGCGCCGAGCCGCCCGTGATGGCGAGGACGCTCACGTTGCCGACAGAGTCGCGCGGCAGGGAGAGAGGCGGCTTCTCGCATCGTACGGGCAGCTGCCCGCCCGGGGAGTCGCACACGCAGGTCCTGGGGCAGCCCAGAGATGCGGCCGACGGCGGCGGCAGCAGCAGCAGCAGCAGGGGGTAGAGGGCGCGCAGGAGGAGAGGGCAGAGGGCAGGCGCGGTTGCCATGGCGCGCGACGAGTTACGCGGCAGGCGCCGCGGGTAACCACCACCCGATGTTGCACGCAGGAAGCAGCAGCAGTGGCAGCAGCAGCAGTAGCAGCAGCAGCTGCTTCTACACTCCTGACTTGGCCGCTCAAGCAGCGCCTGCCGCGGCGTATTTCAATGTCCATAATAATGAGCGGCTATCTATGTGCGAGTGTAGCGTGTCGCGTGTGCGGTGTGCGTGGTGGGTGAGTGGGTGAGGGCTGTGTGTGTGTATACGGGCACGGGACGCGCGTATTTACAGCGCGCTGCGCGCCGGCTCTGTGAGTGCTGTGCACGCACGGGGCCGGGGCGAGCGCCAGCAGCACTCAGAGATGCCGAGACACTCGAAATGATGCTGAGCAGAGGCCGGCGGCCGCTGTCCTTGGTGCTGAAGCGGCCGCTCTGCGTGGCTCTGAGGTGAGCGCTGAGCGCCTCTCGGCACGATCACCGCCTCCACCCGACACGTGGCACGAGCCACGAGGCAGCAGCAGCAGCGCCGAGTCTTCAGACGGCCACGAGGGTGGAGGCGCCGGGCGGCAGCGCTCGCTCGCGCTCACGGAGGAGCGAGCTCCGAGGCATTTCTTGGGTCGCGCTGAGAAGGGCGAACCACCCAGTATGAGGCGCGGTCCAGCGCGCTTGCTTATGAAAGCTCATGGGAGAGGAATGTTCCACTACGTGGATGGACGGGGGGGAGGGGGGGTGAACAAAAGCGCTGTGCTCACTTGGTGTTGCGATGATCGTGCATTGGAGGCAGCTCCAGTGCACCGGCCACGCCGTGCGTGCTCTCCTGGAACCAAATAGCATCCGGACTCATCTCATATTTAGAAACTGGATAAGTGGCGGAAATGGCACATTGATATGCCAAGGGCGAGTCTAACTCGCCATTGTGTTCCATTATGTGTCTCCTACATTATGGCCCCATTAGGATTTGTGATGAATGACTGAGTCGGCCCCTCGCCCAGGCGGCCACACCTGGCGGGCCGAGTCGCAAGGGCGAAGGTTGCAGTGGACCCTGCCAGAGCACACGAGACAGCTGGCACCACCCCCACACACGAATACAGAGGTAAAGAGCCCCCGTATAGCTCTTGGCATACTATTGGGGCAAGTGCTGTTCGTGAGTATGCACCCATGAAGACCGGAATGGTGGTGGTCAGCACCCCGCTCGGCCGCCTTTGATTCTCTCGTGGCGATGTTTACACACCGCACCAGGTACTCATTTAAGGCTGAGTCGACCTTGGGGAGGCCCAGGACCGGTTTACATAATCGTACACACACCCATCCCAACACAGCCTGACACGATCCCTCACCCTCACACGCGCCCCCACCCCTACACCACTCTTACCCCTACCCCCACCCCTACACCCACCCCTACCCCCCACCCCTACCCCCACCCCTACACCACTCTTACCCCTACCCCCACCCCTACCCCACTCTTACCCCCACCCCTACCTCCACCACTACACCCACCCCTACCCCCCACCCCTACACCCCACCCCTACCCCCACCCCTACTCCCACCCCTACCTCCACCCCTACCCCCCACCCCTACCCCACTCTTACCCCTACCCCCACCCCTACCCCACTCTTACCCCCACCCCTACCCCCACCCCTACCCCCACCCCTACCCCCACCCCTACCCCCACCCCTACCCCCACCCCTACCCCCCACCCCTACCCCCACTCTGGGGACGAGGCCTCGTTACCATGCGGATGATTGCGCACTGCCCCCATGGCGCCTCGGAGTCTTGGGCAACGGAGGAGGCGGCGAGAGGCGCGACGGGTGACGCCGTCCAGCAGCTCGCGCCACCAGCGGCCCCGGGACGCACCACGTGGCCGCGTCGCACCACGTGGCCGGCACGTAGCGGAGGTCGCGATCCTCCCACGAGGCGAAGCAGCGAGGTCACAAGGCAGGGGGTGGGGCGGTTCGAATCGGGCGGGCCGCCCCGATTATTATTGCTGCGGGTGCGATCATGGGTGTTATAATTGAGGTCGTCTACTTCGCGGGGAGACATTTAAGGATCCTCGTGGCGTCATTCGCAAGAGTTGGCCGTCGCATGCCGCCCTCAGGGGTGCAGATTAGGCCACATTCGAAAATTTACACCGCAAATGACCCAATTGGAGTCACACACACAGCCGCAGCAGAAGCAGCAATCATCGCATCCCGACTGGCAGCAGATGACAACCCCAGGTCACTCTAGAGGGGTAACCCCACTAGAGGGGTAACCCCACTAGAGGGGTAACCCCACTAGAGGGGTAATCCCAGGTCACTCTGGAGGGGTAACCCCACTAGAGGGGTAACCCCAGGTCACTCTAGAGGGGTAACCCCAGGTCACTCTAGAGGGGTAACCCCAGGCCACTCTAGAGGGGTAACCCCAGGCCACTCTAGAGGGGTAACCCCAGGACACTCTGGAGGGGTAACCCCAGGCCACTCTAGAGGGGTAACCTCAGGTCACTCTAGAGGGGTAACCCCAGGCCACTCTAGAGGGGTAACCCCAGGCCACTCTAGAGAAGTAACCCCAGGTTACTCTAGAGGGGTAAGCCCAGGCCACTCTAGAGCGGTAACCCCAGATCACTCTAGAGGGGTAACCCCAGGTCACTCTAGAGGGGTAACCCCAGGTTACTCTAGAGGGGTAAGCCCAGGCCACTCTAGAGCGGTAACCCCAGATTACTCTAGAGGGGTAACCCCAGGTCACTCTAGAGGGGTAACCCCAGGTCACTCTGGAGGGGTAACCCCAGGTCACTCTGGAGGGGTAACCTCAGGTCACTGTAGAGGGGTAACCCCAGGTCACTCTAAAGGGGTAACCCCAGGCCACTCTAGAGGGGTAACCTCAGGCCACTCTAGAAGGGTAACCCCAGGCCACTCTAGAGGGGTAACCCCAGGCCACTCTAGAGGGGTAACCCCCAGGCCACTCTAGAGGGGTAACCCCCAGGTCACTCTAGAGGGGTAACCCCACTAGAGGGGTAACCCCACTAGAGGGGTAATCCCAGGTCACTCTAGAGGGGTAACCCCAGGTCACTCTGGAGGGGTAACCCCACTAGAGGGGTCACCCCAGGTCACTCTAGAGGGGTAACCCCAGGTCACTCTAGAGGGGTAACCCAGGCCACTCTAGAGGGGTAACCCCAGGCCACTCTAGAGGGGTAACCCCAGGTCACTCTGGAGGGGTAACCCCAGGCCACTCTAGAGGGGTAACATCAGGTCACTCTAGAGGGGTAACCCCAGGCCACTCTAGAGGGGTAACCTCAGGTCACTCTAGAGGGGTAACCCCAGGTCACTCTAGAGGCGTAACGTCAGGTCACTCTAGAGGGGTAACCCCAGGCCACTCTAGAGGGGTAACCCCAGGCCACTCTAGAGGGGTAACCCCAGGTTACTCTAGAGGGGTAACCCCAGGTCACTCTAGAGGGGTAACCCCAGGTCACTCTAAAGGGGTAACCCAGGTCACTCTAGAGGGGTAACCCCAGGTCACTCTAAAGGGGTAACCCCAGATCACTCTAGAGGGGTAACCCCAGGTCACTCTAGAGGGGTAACCCCAGGTCACTCTGGAGGGGTAACCTCAGGTCACTGTAGAGGGGTAACCCCAGGTCACTGTAGAGGGGTAACCCCAGGTCACTCTGGAGGGGTAACCCCAGGTCACTCTAGAGGGGTAACCCCAGGTCACTCTGGAGGGGTAACCTCAGGTCACTCTAGAGGGGTAACCCCAGGCCACTCTAAAGGGGTAACCCCAGGTCACTCTAGAGGGGTAACCCCAGGTCACTCTAGAGGGGTAACCCCAGGTCACTCTAGAGGGGTAACCCCAGGCCATTCTAGAGGGGTAACCCCAGGTCACTCTAGAGGGGTAACCCCAGGTCACTCTAGAGGGGTAACCCCAGGTCACTCTAGAGGGACAACCTCAGGTCACTGTAGAGGGGTAACCCCAGGTCACTCTGGAGGGGTAACCCCAGGTCACTCTGGAGGGGTAACCCCAGGTCACTCTCGATGGACTCATTCCCGGTTTTCTTGAGTTCTCATCTGGCTACAAAACAAATCAGCTTCAAACGATCCCAGCGCAGGCCACAGTGCATCTGTTGGCACCACGGTGGCTAGATGTTAACTACCTCGCCTGGCGTGCAGGAGGTCGTGGCTTTGATTCCGACCCTGACGCCTGCTGCTGTATATTTGGAGTTTGCGCGTCTCTCTCTCCTCGCCCGTGGATTTTTCTCTGGGGCCTCCGGTTTGTCCCTCCACATTTAGAATGAACATCGTGAGTTCGGAGTATTTGGCTGCTATAAATTTCCACGTGCTGATCAGTCACTTCGTTGTGGTATCATGTTGCCAGGTCGCTTCTGAAAAATAGCTACTCGCTCAGCGACCTTTACCTGATAAAATAAACGTTTAGTATCTCTACAAGATGAGAGAGCGGTGGCGCAGTGGTTAGCATCTAAAGCGGTCATGGGGAGCTCCCCCACCGCTTCACCCAACACGCGTCGACCAGCGTGGTGAAGTATGGTCGAACAACCCGGGCTGGCGAATCGATGCGAGGACAAGCGCCCGGGTGCATGTGTGTCTGTGTGTCTGTGTGTCTGTGTGCCTGTGTGTCTGTGTGCCTGTGTGTTTGTGTGCCTGTGTGTCTGTGTGTTGTGTCTGTGTGTGTCTGTGCCTGTGTGCCTGTGTGTCTGCGTGTGTGCCTGTGTCTGTGTGTCTGTGTACGTGTGTGTGTCTGCCTGTGTGTCTGTGTATCTGTGTGTCTGTGTGCCTGTGTGCCTGTGCGCCTGTGCGTCTGTGCGTCTGTATGTGTGTCTGTGTGCCTGTGTGTCTGTGTGCCTGTGTGTCTGTGTGCCTGTGTCTGTGTGTGCCTGTGTGCCTGTGTGTGTCTGTGTGTCTGTGCCGCCGCCTGCTGACGCCTCCAGGGTAGAACACCGCGACTTGAACGCAGCGAGCTTCCACCTCGCGCAGCACGTGGCAACAGGGAAATGCACCACCCAATAAGGGCGGATGCGCCCCCCCCCCCCCGCGGCTTCATTGTCGAAGGGCACGCAGGACCACGAGGTCTGGTCCGGCCACTTCACAACTGCCTGCAAAACGCCTCCCTTTCGAGCAGCATCTCCAGGCGTACTGGTCCAGGCACTGGGTGGATGGGGGGGGGCATTTCGTCCCTCGTTTCTAATTTGAGCGCGGCCCGAGTCGCTTCCTGCTGCGCACATTCGCCGGATTCGGCATCGCGTCCACGATTGCCCACGACGGTGACCGCGATGGGTGCACTTCGAGCCGCCTCCACACGGCAGCGTTACCCCGGCCCCACTCACAGGCGTGGGTTTCTCTCCCCGGGGTCTTCTGCTTTGCAGTGGGAGGCTCTCTCGCATTGGCCAACTCTTTCCGCCGCTGGCCAAGACGTCTCTCCATCCTCAATTGGGGTTGTGTTTGCCCACAGATGGCGTTGTTGGAATTGTTTCCTTCTGCAGTTCGCGATCACCGTCGACTCAACTTCCCGTGCTGGAGAATTAAAAAAGAAAAAGTCGACACGATGATGCAGAACTGAAGTTGTCTTCATGAACAATCAGACACAGCCTTGCCACGTTAAACACTCTACGGGAAACATTTCGCACTCTCGGCTCGGCAGCAGACGCGCCCGCACCACCACCACCTCCTACTGCTGCTGCTTCTGCTGCCGCACAACATCCCCGACCCGGCATCGCGTCCACGACAGCCCACGACGGCGGCCGTTGACGGCACTCTCGTCGCTGGCTCACTTCGCAAAGCCGCGATGGGTGCATCACGAGAGCCAGAGCTGCCTCCACGCGGCGCTGGTACCTCCCCACCCCAACCCCCCTCCAGGGTGCTCCACTCTGCTCCCACGTGCCACAAACGCTCACTCGTGAAAAACGAATCTCGAGATTCAAGCGAGGCTTTGCCTGCGCGAAACGCATCATCGTTACTATGCGTCGAACTTATTCCGCGCCGCGCGTGGCCAACTGCGCCAATCGATGGTGCGGATGACCCCTGCAGCGAGCGGCAAACGACCCGAGCGAGGGATGTTGACGAAAGACAACATCCCTCGGTCCAGCAGCGTCGCTGTGCAGCACGGCGCCAACGCCAAGGCGAATCCGTAACCGCGGTCTGCAACAATTCGTCTGAAAGCAGCAGCAGCATAACGCGATTGGAATCAACCAAACATGCAGCCGTTATGATGCACGAAAATATATTTAATGCACATTAAATACGGACAAAACGCAGTGTAAAGTAAAAAAAGATAAGAACCGCAGTAATCACACGCGAGACGCTCGTAATGAATGCAGTAAAACTCGGAGCGCACCGCCAAGCAGAAGTGGGGGGCTTGGATCCTGGCGCTCCCCACTGAGCCCCCAACACCGGGACCCCCCCACAATAGGGACCCCCCCCCCCCCACACCGGGACCCCCCCACCCAGGCACCCCCACCGGGACCCCCCCCCACCCGGCCCCCCCCCACGGGGACCCTCCTCCCACCTCCCACCGGGACCCCTCACCGGGACCCCCCACCGGGACCCCCCCTCCCACCAGGACGCCCCACCGAGACCCTCCCACTGGGTCCCCCCAACGGGACCCCCACCCGAGGCGAAGGCCGGATCCTCAATGTGCAACAACTGCCCCATGCCCATTCACTGCCGACTCCGCAAGCAAAGACCCCCCCCCTCCCCCCATAGCTTTAACAGACTGTTGGGGCAAGTGCTGTTAGCGAGCACCTACGAAGGCCGACACGGCACACGAGGGGGGGTGGGTGGCCAGTGCCACGCCCGACCACCTTTGTCTCCCCAGTGGCGATGTTCACACACGCCGCGCACCCGGTACTCATTTGAGCCACGGTAGGGTCGTGCGCACGTTGAACTTCTTTCGCACCATACGTAGCCAAGCGTGCTAATCGGAGGTGCGGGGGGGCGGAAGGACAGACGACTTGGCCCCCCATGTCGACGCTACGAGCCCTGGCGAGTGTGAAACCAAACCATCTTTCATCCACTGGAAACAATCAACTCGGAGAAAAGCGGCCCCGAGCTACGCGTCGTCAAAGCGGCGTCGCGTCCCGATGCCCTTGACGTCGGCACGGCTCTCGTCGTCGCCTCCTTCCTCCTTGCCGTCACCCGCAAGACCGCCCCCCGTCTCCGCCGCCCTCGCAGCTGCGTCTGCCACCGTCACGATTCAGTGCTTCCCCTTTGTTCCACTGCCCTTCAAGGATCGCTTTTACAGCCTCACCACCACCATCAAAGACAAATATCCCCCGTGTAGCCTTAACAGACTGTAGAGGCAAGTGCTGTTAGCGAGCACCTATGATGGCCGGAACGGCACACGAGGGGTTGGGTGGCCAGCACCACGCCAGACCGCCTTTGTCTCCCCAGTGGCGATTTGAGGCTGAATCGACCTAGGGGAGGCCCAGGACCGGTTCCGATAATCGTCACTGGTGTTGGCCGTGAGCGGGAATCGAACCTACACTATCGCTCCCCACCAGCACCACCAGCACCTGGGTTAGTGGCCAAACTTCAAGCGCCCAGAACACGGGAGAATAATGAAAACTGTCACGGAGCGGGGGCGTACGACCGAGGAAATTGAGAATTTATTGCAAGTTAATTAAACTTTGTCATTTAATCGGGGGCGATGCAATACGACGCGGAGAAAAACAAACAGGGATTGGGCTGGAGGCCGCGCGTCCCCCTGGGCCTGCGCCCGCTTGGACCTCGCCAACTGCGGCAGCGCGTCAGCAGCCGTGCCGCAGCGAGCCCACGGGGACCCCAAAGCCATCGGGGTGCAAAGACAAAGTAGCAAATGCCCTAGTTTCGGGGTTTTTTTTCTCTCTCTCCGTCAACACGAAGCCAACCTTCGGGAGGCGGTGCGACGAGAGTTTTGCCGCGGGCACACTCGCACACTAATACCGCTCGCCACCTCTCTTTGCCGACGTACGTTGCTTCTGGCGGCTGGCAATGGGCCTGGAGATACGGGGGTGCTATTTGTAGCCAAGGGAGACGCGTCGATGTCAAAGATAACGTGGGGGCATCGGCAAGTCCTCATCAAGTCGTTTCTCAGATAATGCGATTTACTTGCCCGGATTATCGAGCCGCGGGCGGTTGCCACAGGCTGCGCTGATGCTCCTCCGTCATTCGTTCACCTTCACCTGCCACTGGCTCCCGGACGGGCACGTCTGCGCCAACGCTTCACGGCCAATGTCGCGGGTAGCCGGCGTCTGTGGGTGAAGAAGCGTGCCTGGAGCCGAGCCGAGCCACGGCGCGTCACCCCCACAAACCCGGTCAACCCCAATGCTCCCACCTCCCCTCGCGCTCAGCATCCCGGGCACGGTGATTCACCACTTGGAGGAACTTTGCAAGAGGCAGGATTTAACCAACACATCACTTGGGCTGCTCTTACCGCTCCGGAGATGTGAACGCTTTGGACAGATGTCCCCAATGTAGGACCACACCGCTTGGGCACATTTCTGTGGCCGTTTCTGGCTGCCTTGCAACCTGTCTGTGGATTCCCACGCCTATGAATCACGCTCTCTCGATCTCACTTAGGGGAACAAGGGAACATTGCACACGTGACTAATTCTAAACTCTACATTTTGCAGTTCAAAAACACTTGTATCTCTCCGACAGTTGCTGTGGTCAGAGTGCACAACTAACAAATCGGAGGTTGATAGAATTTGTACCACCAAAGCCAGCGGTGGGTTTGTCCTATAGAGGGAGTAGCCTCCACTGCGGGAATGTGGAGTTCCCACCACTGGATCGGGGTAGCCAATGGAGAAGAGCGCGGCTCCATCGCTCGTTTGAGCGGTGACCCGTGGGTGACTTTGAATCGGACAAACTTGATCGCAACTTAGGGCTGGCAACATTTCCCACTGCGGACCAATCCCAGACCTGAATTCTCACTCGGCCAACACAACGGTGCAAATCTCGGTACAAATCAATCCCCGCTACTCGGACACAGAGACGCCGATTCTAGGACTGCTGTCAACCTAATCGCAACGCCACAACCCGAGTAAATGTTATAACGACAGCACAACCAGAGCCAGCCGTGCAGCCATAACACTGACTAATGCTTCGACGAGCCCTCAGCGGAGCCCCTTGAGCGGCGTCCCACGCCTCGACCCCCGAGAGTCCGTCGCGAGGGCTGTGCGACCCTCACGACGCTGCTCGTCCCGACAGCCACAGTCCTTGCGCGATATGTTTTGCATCACGCTTCCTCAAGTGATATCGATGCAATGGGTTTGCAGCAGCATCAGCAGAGACTACAAACTAAAACGTGTTGTTTTATTTTACCAGGTAAGGCCCCACTGAGCTATGTGGCTCTTTTTTAGAAGCGACTTGGCCACTGATGATAGCTAAACAAAGTGGCTTATCATCACGTAGAAAGTTAGAGCAGCCAATACTCGCAGACACCCGGGCCTCGGCGATGATGCCTATTGACGCTGTGACCCTGACAACACCTTGGCACAGCGTACACAAGAGCGAGGCAGCGGAGCAGAGCGGCACAAAATTCGGATTACGCTAGAGATGTGGAAGCGCCTCCAACAGAAGAGTTGACTACATATGGTGCAAAATGTGTTCCACAAACGTACGGACAGAGCGGCGAGCGAGGGCACACGATGATCAGGAGCGGTGGCGACAGCGCGTCACCCGCAGCTCCTGGCGGTCCAGACTGCCCAGTTTCCGCTGGAGACACGACGCTGACGGGACGGGTGGTGGCAAGGTGGTGAGTTCAAATCCCATTCGGGCGTCTAATCAGCCAAAGGTCGTCCCTCCGGGGGGGACGACATCGCTGCAAAAACACCTGTCAGGTTTCAATGGAGAGGACTGGCCCTTGCCACAGGAATGTGGCGTTTCCACCAGTGGTTCAAGCCTGCCACACGCTCGCGAGGACACCGCGCACGCGCCGCCCACAGGGACGGAGATCCCCCCGTCGCGACCCCGACGCACGGCGGTCGCTCTGCTCGTGGCGAGGGCGAAGCGTCGCCGCCCCAACGTGACGCGAACGTTAACGACGGTCGCTGTACCCAGCGGCAACAGCAACGAAAAAGCGGAGTCGGACCCCGAAGCACGGGCTCCACACTTCGCCCCGACCCCCCCCCCCCCCCCCCCCCCCCCCGAGAGAAAACATCGCAGGGATGTAGGGCTGCATCCTGCGTCACGGCGCTGGCTCAGTCTCCAGCGCTTGAGCCGCCCGGTTGCTTTCCAATAGACGCATGAGCGAGAGCGGCCCCGGCCGTGGCTCGGCTCCCTGGAAACCTCGAGCCTGGCTGGGGCCGTGCTCGGAGCCGGCTCAAGCTAAGCGAGTGCCGTTGAGTCGGCTCACTTGAGTCAGAGCCAGAAAGCCTGTGCCGAGCCGTGAACCCAACAGCACCCACAGGCCACCTGAACAGTCACCTGAAGATCACAAGCTCTACCCATACACCGGCCCACTTCTCAATACTGACATCACTCGAGCGATGACTCTCGATTCAACGCGTTCGTCAATAGCACCGTGGCCTTAACAGGAAATATAAATACATAATAGGCAACGTTTTGGTCAATTTCCCTTCTTCATATCAGACAGCGAGTGACCAGACAGATTGAGTGAAGAAGAGTTTGAGACTGCAAGACACACGCCACACGCAGTTTAACATACATACATACCAAGGGGCCCCGATGGAAAATTTGTTTTAAGAATGTTGCCAAATTAAGTATTCGACTCGCTTATGAGCCGTGACCCACGAGCAGGTATATAGCGTGTCAGACAAATCTTTAAAAAATATAAAATGCTTCATCTATCTAAAGTAAGATGATCAAAAGGCCCATTTCTCAAAAACGTCACCTGTTACGGTTTTTCCTTTTTAGTGCAGCAGCGTTCATTGTTGCTTGCGCACAGCTGCCAACGCAGCGACGCACAACGGCCTCCTCCAATACTGCACTTGGAAAAGCACTCGACGCAAAGCAATCGTCGACCGCGGTGCATCGTAACGTTACATCGCAACTTGGGGAGGAAACAAATATCTTGCCAACGCTAACCGTGGCCCATAAACAAAAATAATAATTAATTTTAAAAATATATACAAAAATATATTTACATAACATTAAAAAAAAATAAAAGCGAGAAGCCTCGCGCGAATCACCCGAACGGCAAACGCCGGCACTCGGCCATAGAACGTGCGTGCTTCTCTCGGGGGGGGGGGGGGGGGCACTAACGATGAGGCGCCATCAAAAAACGCACGAACCTCCAGCACGACAAATGTGGGATCGCGAAAGCGAAGGGCGCCGCGGCGGCGGAGGTTTACAATCGTGGACTGGAATGGGGTCAGCGTCGCTGTCGTCAACACCACCACAGCGTTGGCGCACCGCGGTGATTGGAGCCCACGGCCGTTACGCGCCCGGCTAGGGACCGAGTGAGCTCTGCACTCCTGGGGTGAGACACCGAAACTGGCCCAGAGTTTTGCTCGTGTTTGAAGTAATGCTGCTGAAGTAATGCACTCTAAGGAGGCCGTGTGGCTGATGGGATGTGTAAAGGTTTGCACTCTTTAAAGCAAAAGGGGCAGATGTGGGGAGGAGGCGGCATATTACCCTCTCGCATTTCCTTTCAAGTGCCGTTGTCCATCCGGGGTTCTCCGGTTTTCCCGTCCACATTTAGAATCAATGTGCATTTAAGAGTATTTGGTGGCTATAAATGTCCAAGTGACGATAAGCAACTTCGTTGAGCTATCATTTGGGGGCAGGTCGCTTCTAAAGAGAGCTGCGTAGCTCAGTGGCTCTCACCAGGTGAAATGAAAAACAGTGAAGTTTAAGTTTAGAAGTGCGCTCAGAGGGAAGGCGCGCAGGCCCACTGCCTCCAACCATTCAAAAGACACAGCCGCTCCCACCTCGCTCACACGCCACGTTCCAAGTAGGTTGATCGAGGCGGAGGGAATGGCGGTGCAGTGGTTAGCGCGCTGTGGATTCGCGGCCACCACCGACACCAGTGGCAGAGTGATATCAACCGGTCCTGCCCCCCCCCCCCCCCTCGCATTGACCAGCGTGGTGAAGTATGGTCAAACAGCAGCCAAGATTGACACACGAGTGCAGCCCTTCACCCAGCAGTGGTTTGACAAAAGAGCTGTGAAATCTTACATTCTTATCATTATTATTAGCACATTTATAGGACACCAACATGAGGCAGTTGTAGAGAACGTGTCTTGAATCACAATGTTGCACGCGCCCGGACTCGATCAGCTGACACACAACGGGTGAACACCCGGCTGCAATGTCACCATGAGAGCCTCCTCGGCAGCAATCCGGACAAACCCCACTGCCCCCATGTGTCAAGTCCCAACAGCAAGGCCTCGTGTGTCAAGTCCCAGCCCCCGTGTGTCAAGTCCCAGCCCCCGTGTGTCACGTCCCAGCACCCAGCCCCAGTGTGTCACGTCCCAGCACCCAGCCCCCGTGTGTCAAGTCCCAGCACCCAGCCCCCGTGTGTCAAGTCCCAGCACCCAGCCCCCGTGTGTCAAGTCCCAGCCCTCGAGTGTCAAGTCCCAGCCCCGTGTGTCAAGTCCTGGCGCCGAGCGCGTCACCAAAGACCTCGCCGGTGACCCGTCCGGTCCGTTCAGGCGGCCGTGGGGGCACGTGGACGTGGCGTGACGGCGGCGTGGTGGCTGCGTGCGCACAGCCTCTCAAGAGGTTTTTTTTTTATGCTCCGTATATGTTGCTCTGCGCGGTCACCTCGTATCGACATTCGCAAGATAAATCTCACTGCCAACGCCCCCCACCCTCCGCCAGATCACGCAGCGACCTCCAAGAATGATCAGCCCTGATGACGGTGTCCGACCAGCCGGCCCTAGGTCTTCCCCTCGGTCGCCGGCCTCGTGGGGACCGCTCCAACGCCGCTCTTGAATAAGAAACACTTTTCCCAAGATGGTGTAACTGTTGTTTTGCATGAGAGAGAGGGGGGGGGCAATGTGGAAAGCCAACTAGCGTCATGCCCAGAGGGGTCAGCCAGTGACGTGCAAACCGGTGGTGGAAGATGGCTACGGAGCTTCCAGCTGGTACTCGTAACCATCAACATGCGGATTGGATCAAGAATGTGCAGCGGGTGCAGCAGGTGAAGTGAGTGCAGCATGTGCAGCGGGTGAATCGGGAGCGGCGAGTGCGGCGAGTGCAGCGGGTGATGCAGGTGAAGTGAGTGCAGCGGGTGATGCATGTGCAGCGGGTGATGCAGGTGCTTCTTGCCGGCTAGGACTGTGTCGGGCCACGACGCTGAATACTGGTCGAGGCACCTGCACTGTCCCACGCCGATAAGGCGAAGCTGTCGGCAGGGGGAAGGTGCAGCCAGCTCCATTGTTGTACTCTACTTCTATTCGCCTTCACCCGACGCGGTAAAGTATGTTCACATGACCCGCACCTTTGTGGGGGAGGGGATTGACTGACTCACACACCACTTACAACACTCACACACCACTGACAACACACACACACCACTTACAACACACACACACCACTTACAACACACACACACTACTCACAACACACACCACTCACAACACACACACACACACACCACTAACAACACACACACACCACTCACAACACACACACCACTCACAACACACGCACACCACTCACAACACACACACCACTCACAACCCACACACACCACTCACAACACACACACCACTCACAACACACACACACCACTCACAACACACACACACCATATGGCGTGCACGGCGCCAGCCGCGGCAGTGCGGCAACGTGGGAATCAGAAAACTGGCAAAGGCGCCGACTTTCAAGGCGAGGTGTCGCTGACGGAGGGCTCATCAACGCGGGGGGTGGGGGGGGGGATACTGGCGGGTCCCGCATACAAAGTTACCGGGCGCGCCCGCAGGAGTACCGGGACGGGAACCGCCGCACGGTACCCGCGTTGATCCTTGCCGCCGACAGGTGAACCGGGCGACGACTGCAGCCGCATTTCCCACACCCCCCTCCTGCCCTCCGAGTCTTCCTCGCGAGACTGGCAGCCGGGGAAACGGAGCGCTCTCGACTCGTCCCCCGACTTCGCGAGAGAACGCTGGGCATGGGACACGGCATGGGGGGGGGGTTCACGCATGCATCCACGACGCAAGAGCCGCTCGTTTGCATCTTGCTTTCAAAAGTCTTGGGGAAACACCGCTCCCTATTCACAAGACGAGGCCAAGTGACGTTCGCGTTGCACCTTTGTCGCAGCGGGGACGATGCGGTCGCACGCGTTGCCTCCGCTCGCCGGGTTCACGCGGTCCATGCGTTCGTGCGCGCGTTGTTGGGGGGGGGGGTGGGGGGTGGTGCCGGGAGCTGAGCGCCGGCGTCGCGACCGCCCGGCGCTCAGCCAATGGCCGAGCCGGCCGCCTGGGCGGCGGCGTGGGCGGTGGCGTGGGGCGAGTCGTGACCGTAGGCGCGCCCCAGCAGCAGGCGGTCCCGCAGCAGACGGAACACGAGGCAGTAGTTGGCGAAAAGGAGCAGCGCGGCGGATAGGGCGTGGTTCCAGCGGTCTGAGCGCGCCAGCCAGTACAGCTGGTACACCACAACGCCGCCCTCCAGCACCAGCAGTGAGTTGAGCACCCTCAGCGGCTTGTGGAAGAGAAACTGGCGGAACACGCGCGGGGAACGGGCGCGTCAAACGGGAAAAGTGCGCCACTCATGCCGATGGAATCTATTTTAAATGTTTCCATTATTATACAAATCGTAGTTGTTGGGGAAGGACAACAAACTAAACAGAAAAAGCACTTCTAAAGAAATTAGTTTTCCATCTAGATGATTTATAAAAGCATAGCCCCAGTGGTTCGTAATATCGATATGCCTTTCATCAGCAAGTGGCGGAGAGGAACACAGCGGTTAAAATTCCACATTCCTATGGCAGATACCAGTTTCTGTTACCTTCGGCATAGCACGTATACCGGCTGAGGAGCGTAATCCACTCAGTAATGTGTTCACACGTCTTGATAAGGGAGGCAAGCTAGTATACCGAACGCCCACAACGGTGCGTTCGGGTTTTGGGAGTCATACCGTCGTCCACTTACTCCACAGTGTGACATTTATAAACAAACTAGCGCCTTGATCTCCCTCAAAGTCACCCCAACGTACACCGGTGCCGTCACACCGTGGAGTTGAACATGTCCTGTACTATTGCCCTGTACTCCAATGCACCGACCCCTATGCTCTCTCTGCGTGTGCCAAACACGAACCAAAACCAGCATACGGTAAAAAAAACGCGTTGACCCAAGCGGCGAGCGGACCGCAGAGCCGGCTGTCTCCATGCGGGGCGTTTCACTCAGGCGAGTCTCGCGGTTTGCCCCCCCGAGGCCCATCGAAGAAGGCTGCGGCACGTGGCGTCTGGCACCCCCCCCCCGCCCAACCTGACCCCTCCCCCCCCCGGGCGGCGCACTCACGTAGAAGCGAGAGTGCGACGCGTCGGAGGGCACGGCGACGTTGCAGGAGCCGACGGCCTTGTACAGGCCCTTGTTGTGCCGCACCAGCACTCCTTGGGGCCAGATCGTCGTCTCCGACCAACTGCGCACGGTGGCACGGGGCAACAGACAGACAGACATCCCAGCGGGGCCTCAACAGCCTGGTGGGGCGAGAGCCGTCAGCGAGAATGTACGGAGGGCGGCAGGGTGCCGCGTGGGTGCTACGTGGGCGACGCGTGTGTGCCGCGTTGGTGCCGCACGGGCGCCGCGTGGGTGGCGTGTGAGTGGCGTGTGAGTGGCGTGTGAGTGGCGTGTGAGTGGCGTGTGAGTGGCGTGTGAGTGGCGTGTGAGTGGCGTGTGAGTGGCTGTGTGTGGGCGCCACGTGGGCACAGCGTGGGTACCGTGTGGGTGATGTGTGAGTGCCGCGTGGGTCTCCTGGGTGCCTTGCGAGTGTCTCGTGGGTGCCGCGTGGGTAATGTGTGAGTGGTGTGTGGGTGCCTTGTGGGTGCCTTGTGGGTGCCTTGTGGGTGCCTTGTGGGTGCCTTGTGGGTGCCTTGTGTCTCGTGATTGTCTCGTGGGCGCCATGCGCACGGCTGGCGTACGCGTGCTGTGGCGTGTGGCTGTAGGCGGCGCTCTCCAGGCGGTGCCAGCGGCCCAGGTGGGTGGCGGCGCGGTGAAGCAGGTCGCAGTAGCGCGGCGGCAGCAGCTGCGAGGTGAGCATCACGAAGGTGTTCACCCACACCAGGATGAGGTGCTCGCACGACCAGCGCATGTCGTAGTACTGCGTGCTCTGTGGACGACAAAGACAAACATCCCCCGTGTAGCCTTTTGGGGGGTAGGTGCTGTTAGCGAGCACCTATGAAGGCAAGGTTGGCACTCGAAGGAGTACTCATTTGCAGCCGAGTTGACCTAGGAGAGGTCCAAGATCAGATCAGATAAATCGTCAGTGGTTTTGGCCGATGCGCACACACATGCATGCACGTGGTCTTTAGATTGAGTGAGGCAGTGAGGAAAAGCGACCACGACTGACTTCATGAAAAGCTGCACTCACGTTTAACTTAAAACGAGGGTTCCTGTAGCCACTGCGCTGACCCAGATGTCTTTTGGGTCCCGCCACGAGGTGGTTATGCACCTTGTCATTAACCCTTTACCATCCGTGTTTACCAAGATATTATCTATACGCGCCAATGCATTGACGGAATAACGCTCTGAGCATCAACATTTCGCTCAAACTGTTTCGAGTTTCATCAGATAGCGAGCTCGGACACAGAGTACAGTCACAGCCCGATTTACGTCTCCCCCTTTTGCGTCGTCACATTATTATTATTATTAACAACGCTACCAGATTTGCGTCGTCTCCACCCAGCACTTACGTCACCGATGGCATTGTCGTCCATCCTTTCTCGTTACCCGTCCCCCCTCTCTCGGCCTTCGCTTCCACCAGGCGCACAGCGCTCCGCCGCAGCGGGGAGACCGCGGCAAACGATGGCGGGAGCGACGAGGGAGGGGGGAGAGAGGGAGGGAGGGAGCGAAGGAGGGAGGGAGGGAGGAGAGAGGGAGCGAAGGAGGGAGGGAGGGAGGGAGCGAAGGAGGGAGCGAAGGAGGGAGGGAGGGAGGAAGGGATGGAGGGAGTGAGGGAGCGAGGGAGGGAGGGAGCGAGGGAGCGAAGGAGGGGGAAGGGAGGGGGGAGAGAGGGAGCGAGGGAACGAGGGAACGAAGGAGGGAGGGAGGGAGCGAGGGAGCGAGGGAGCGAAGGAGGGAGGAAGGGAGGGGGTAGGGAGGGGGGAGAGAGGGAGCGAGGGAACGAGGGAACGAAGGAGGGAGGGAGGGAGCGAGGGAGCGAGGGAGCGAGGGAGCGAAGGAGGGAGGAAGGGAGGGGGGGAGGGAGGGGGGGAGGGAGGGAGCGAGGGAACGAGGGAACGAAGGAGGGAGGGAGCGAGGGAGCGAGGGAGCGAGGGAGCGAGGGAACGAGGGAGCGAGGGAACGAAGAAGCGAGGGAGGGAGGGAGGGAGGGAGGGAGGGAGGGAGCGAGGGAGCGAGGGAGGGAGGGAGCGAGGGAGCGAGGGAGGGAGGGAGGGAGGGAGCGAGGGAGCGAGGGAGCGAGGGAGGGAGGGAGCGAGGGAACGAGGGAGCGAGGGAGCGAGGGAGCGAGGGAACGAGGGAACGAAGGAGGGAGGGAGGGAGGGAGCGAGGGAACGAAGAAGCGAGGGAGGGAGGGAGCGAGGGAACGAAGGAGCGAGGGAGCGAGGGAACGAAGGAGGGAGGGAGGGAGGGAGCGAGGGAACGAAGAAGCGAGGGAGGGAGGGAGCGAGGGAACGAGGGAGCGAGGGAGCGAGGGAGCGAGGGAACGAAGGAGCGAGGGAGCGAGGGAGCGAGGGAACGAAGGAGGGAGCGAGGGAGGGAGCGAGGGAACGAAGAAGCGAGGGAGGGAGGGAGCGAGGGAACGAAGAAGCGAGGGAGGGAGGGAGCGAGGCAACGAGGGAGCGAGGGAGGGAGGGAGCGAGGGAACGAAGAAGCGAGGGAGGGAGGGAACGAGGGAACGAAGGAGGGAGGGAGGGAGCGAGGGAGCGAGGGAACGAGGGAACGAAGGAGCGAGGGAGCGAGGGAGCGAGGGAGGGAGGGAGCGAGGGAGCGAGGGAGCGAAGGAAGGGAGGGGGGAGGGAGGGGGGAGGGAGTGAGGGAGCGAGGGAGCGAAGGAGGGAGGGAGGGGGTGGGTTCGCCCGGTGGAGCAGCGACGCTCACCTTGACGAAGCACAGTGGCAGGAAGGCGACGTAGTAGGCGCTGAACAGCGAATTAAAGAGGATCTCCTTGATGCGCTTGTTGAAGTCGGTCTTGAGCATGTGCACCTCGGCGCGCACCAGGTCGGGCGACAGCACACACGCGTGCGTGGGGATGCTGTCCCCGCTGTGGAACTGCTCCCTGCCGACGGGAGGGACACCGATCGGCACGGAGCCGCCCGGCACGCACCGCACGCCTCTGTCTCCCCCCAACCTCTCCGTTACCCTGGGTGTGCCATTGGTTGAGCTATCAATTGTGGCCAGGTCACTTCTGAAGAATAAATGAATACCTCAGTGGGCTTTGCCTGCAAGGATGGGGGTGGTTTAGTTTTATATGTGTTTGGGTTATTTGTTTACCTTGCTTGTACTTTGCACGACTATCGTGTTTGTTGTTTGTTGCAACAATCTTACCCCGTGCCCCGACTGGACATCTGTGAAAAAGAGCTTTATAGCTCATCGGATTCCTCCTCAAGTATAAATAAATATTCTGATTCTGATCTCTCGCAAGGCAGCGCGACCCTTCGTGTTGGATAATTAAGCGGCGGACAATACGCCTCCTTCGCAGACCTGTCCAGCCACGCAGAAAATTTTAAAAAATGTTGACACTTCCCGCCAACCTGAAGGCCTATTTCAGTCGTGGTGCAGTGACACTGCACAAGCTGCATTGATGCCCATTTCACAGTCGTCAATATTTACAATCATTTACAGACTTTGCCAATCCACTGCTGGATGAAGACCTCACCAATGCCGTGTCGGTGATGGAGGGTATTTGACCGTACTTCACCGTGCTGGGCAGTGCGGGTTGGTGAATGGGTGGGGGTGGGGGAGGGGGGGACCAGACCTATTTTAGATCTCACTGGCTTACTGATGTTAGCCGTGTCCGGGAAAGGAACTCGGTTTGTCGGGCTCATAATCCAGGGTGCTAACCACGGCACCACCACTCTGCGGTAGCGACGACACGGCCGGTGTGGCGGATGCGAGTTTGGCCCCCGCCGCGCCTTACCTCAGCGTTTCCAAGATGAGGGCCCGGTACGGCCTCGGCTTGGATTCCTCCCCATCGCTGCCTTCCGCTGGTTTCCGTGGTGACGGAGGGGGGCTGGCGGTGAGCTCCGAGCCCCCGCCGTCGGAGCCCCGCACCCCTTCGTGGTGCAGCCCGTATAGGGGGATGTACACAAGAAACCTAAGAAACACACGCGCTCACGATGAAACCCAAGAAACAGCATGGTGGATCAACGCTGTGCGCCCGCCGGGCTGACCCCACGCTTCTACACACGGGGCGAGGATGTGAGAGGCGGCGGCAGCGACTTGGGGAGGCCTTCATTCAGCAGTGGATCGACCATGGCCGACGATGACGACATCAACCCATGCGGGTATCCCTCGGTTTATGAACGTTCGGTTTGCGAAAAAACTGCGTTCACGTAAATGACAAATTCGATTCACGAAATAGAATTTCCGAAATTTCACTACGGCCACACGCCGTGAGATCATCGAACAAGAGCCATCCGGGAGGCTGCGTCGTCATCCATCGGCGACAGCGTCACACAGTATCTCTGCAGTGGCAGCAGTAACGCCTCCACGTCACCCTGCCAGTCATTCCAACGTGCAGCAGCTTGTTTATGGCGAGTTCGCTGACAAAGTTTTGAAAATCCGTTCTGATTTATGGAATTTCGTTTTTATTCTTTTCACGTGTTTTTAAAGAACCTCATCCCTTTCAGAAATCCAGGGATACCTGCATGAAGATGAAATCTTCTGCTTAAGCCTCAAACCGACTTTGGCAAAAGGCACTGCAAGCAAACAGCTAACAGACGAAGGGACAGACACGTTAACCCACAACAGCCGCAAGCCGCCACACAGTGGCAGTGATGTCACCACGGTGCTCGTGCCAGACTAGGTGCTTGCTGCTGGCAGGTTACGGGTACAGACCCAGGTGTTATGGTTTGACTGACTGAGACGACACCCACAACAGAGACCCCCCCCCCCGTACAGCGCTATTAGCGAGCACCGATGAAGGCCAGTACGGCGCAATGAGGGGGTGGGTGGCCAGCACAAAGCCCTGCGTCGCTCCCTTTGTCTCCACAGTGCTGATGTTCACACACTGCACCACGTAATAATTTGAGGCCGAGTCGACCAAGGGGAGGTCCAGGACCGGTTCAGATAATCGCCACAAACATTCACCACTGTTATTGGTCGGGTAACCGGGTCGACAGTGCAGAATTGTGAAGCAGTGCACCACCGCTCCGTACACTCCGCGTGTTTGTGCAGTGGCGGCGGCACCGGCACACTCACGGATAGCAGAGGAAGAGCAGGTTGATGAACGAGTGGCTGCGGAAGAGGTTGATGAGCGCCCAGCACAGCGTCCACCCGGAGCCGGTGAGCAGCACGAGGCGGGCGAGCACCAGCGTGGCGTAGCGCCAGGCGGCGGGCGAGGGCCGTGCCTGCCACTGACTCACCTGCAGGTGGCACAGCGGGTCAGCAGTCAGCCTCGCTCAGTCGATGCGTTGTTCTTTCCTTAAAACACTCACCGAGTATCCCTTGCTATCCCCCACTCCCATTCACCCCCTCCCTTCCCCATCATTAACACACCATCCCTCTCCCCGACTTCTCCACCCGTTCACTCACTCATCACTAACCGCTCATTGTCACTCTCATCATCGCTTATTTCACGCATCATCGTATTCACGCACTGTAATCCTTCTCATCAAGCCATCTCATCATCACACTATTCTGCTGTACAAACAGTTATTTATTGGTTCAGCGCCTTAATCAAGACGCTATATAAATTAAAGATAAAATAAGACCTCAACACTGGGGCGCTCGTCTCCTAGTTGACGAAAAGAATGAATGCCCGTTTTGAGTTCTACCCACGGTGGGGATGGCGACACTGCACACACCGCTGGGAGGGAGGCTGGGAGGGAGAGAGGGGGAGGGGAGGAGGAGGGGATGGGAGAAAGGGAGGCTAGGAGGGAGGGGAGGAGGAGGGGATGGGAGGGAGGGGAGGAGGAGGGGATGGGAGGGAGGGGAGGAGGAGGGGATGGGAGGGAGGGTGGAAGGGAGGGAGGGGGGAGGGAGGTTATCTTATCTGGTAACTGCAAGCGAATAAAAACAAAATCAACGAACGCTCTGCATGCGTGATGTCATTTGTTTTGCGCTTGCTGGTTACTCTTGGAAACTACATTGTTTACAATCAATAAGCATATAAAGGTCTTCTATATCGTTCTAGGTTACCACATGGATTTAAATTGTATCGTAGTTATTTTATTTTGGCAGTTGATTATTCACCGATGACTCTCACGTATGATACCATTTCACACATTCATAAATCACCTCACGTACCCCCTCGGACACTGCTCCATACTCCCAGGGTTCCGCGTGCCCCCGTTTCAGAACCACTGCGATACACAACGCTGGTGCAACGCCTCCACTGTCACCCTTCCCCCTCCTCCCACGAACACCACTTGGCTTTTTCTCCGTCGAAACCCGAGGATCGGAGCGCCCTCGGAGCGCCCTCTCCGGTCCACGCACACAGCAGAGGACGAGGAGGAGTTAAACTTTGACCTTTCCAGCGTCACCACCGCCCTGCTGGACCCATGGGGGGTGGTGGTGGGGGGCGTCTAGAATAGGGTTCTTATTTCCTCGTGCGAGCGTGATCGGTATTTGAACGCAAACGCAGTCAAGGAGTTGTACAGACCCCATCACGTACAAGGCACGGTGAGTCCTTCCATCCAGAAGTGGATTTACTATTTTATTTGAGCAGGTAAAGCCCACCAAGCTATTACCACTTTTTCAAAGGAGACCTTGCCACACACGATAGCTCGTCGAAGTGGCTTTATCATCGCATGTGGGAATTTATAGCAGCGGATAAATAGTCCGAACGCGCGTTTCTAAATGTGAGGGTAAAAAACTGGAAGACCTTGAGAAAAATGCACGCGACCACTTGGAGAGAACACGCGGACTCCAAACGTACAACAGGCATCGTCAGGGTTGGGTCCGAACTCACGAACTTCTGCATATCCGGCACAACCGTGGGCAAATTGGAAAAGACCCGTAAGTTTTAATATTTACATAAAGATACGTCGTTACGTAACGAGCTGTAATAGATACGTCGTTACGTAACGGCGCGGTTCGAACGTTCTCACGCGCCAGTTCGGTGGGGGGGGGGGGGGTCACGGCTCGTTACTAAACCTGATCCCGGATCACGCCACCGACTTGGCGACCCGTGGAACCAGTGACTCCGATTGCGTAAGGCCGCAATCAGACGCCGACAAGCGAAAGGGCGAGTGTCGCGCGGAGCCATTCGACGGCGGGTGACCGGCGACAGCCCTTGCCTCGGTGACGAGCGTCCACACGAGGCGGCGGGACAGCAGCACCCCGATGAACGCCACCAGGTGGTAGTCGATCTTGTGGAAGTTCTGCAGAGGAGGGGGGGAGCGGAGCACACGCTCGTTACCAGCGGCAGCGGCCACGGAACGCGAGCGACCCCGGCTCGCCACGCCCAGACAAGTGCGAGACAAACGCTCGTCACCCTCGGCGGCCCTGATGTCTGCAGTTGGAAATTCCACATTAGTATGGAGGGAACCGTTACAGCCGTAGGAAAGCCCAAAAGTGGTGCTCATATTATCAACCGCCAAGGAAGGGTGGGGTGAGCTCAACTCCCGGCCTGGAATAGAACTTGTAGCCGTCGCTTGCGAGTTGGGTACCAAATGCGACCTGGTTGGATTAGGGTTCGGTTAGCTAGCGGTGTACCACCTTGTGTCAGAGAACGTCACAGAGCTACTTCATAGGGCCCTCCCTGAGGCCGGGTTGTTTTACACAGCTGCTGAGCAAAAGGCCCAGAGGCCCAAAACGTCAAGCAACCAGCAACAAACAGCACTGTCAAAGTTGCAACAGACAAGAGTGTTACACGTTTCTTGTATTGAGCAAGGTCATTATTACGAAAGCTTGGGAAAACATATGATGGGAGGGAATTCTCAAGTGGAGCAGTGCGAGGGAAGAAGCAGAGAGAGACATGCGGTGACCTGCAGTGTAGTGAGTGGCTGAGTGGGCGAGTGGGGGAGAGGGCGAGTGGGGGAGAGGGCGAGTGGGCGAGTGGGGGAGAGGGGGAGTGGGCGAGTGGGGGAGAGGGGGGAGAGGGGGAGAGGGGGAGAGGGTGAGTGGGGGAGAGGGCGAGTGGGGGAGAGGGCGAGTGGGGGAGAGGGGGAGAGGGCGAGTGGGCGAGTGGGGGAGAGGGGTAGAGGGTGAGTGGGGGAGAGGGTGAGTGGGGGGAGAGGGGGAGAGGGGGAGAGGGCGAGGGCGAGTGGGGGAGAGGGCGAGCGGGGGAGAGGGCGAGTGGGGGAGAGGGCGAGCGGGCGATGTGAGCGAGTGGGGGAGGGGGTGGAGTGGGGGAGAGGGTGAGTGGGGGAGGGGGTGAGTGGGCGAGTGGGGGAGAGGGCAATTGGGGGAGTGGGTGAGTGGGCGAGAGGGCAAGTGGGCGAGTGGGGGAGAGGGCGAGTGGCCGAGAGGCCAAGTGGGCGAGTGGGGGGAGCGGGCGATGTGGGCGAGTGAGAGAGTGGGGAGAGGGGGTGAGGTGGGCGAGTGAGTTGTTGTGACCGATGGTTGAGCACAGGCTGGATGAGACGAAGCAGTCAGTGTCTGGTTGACGAAGTCGACAACCCTGGTAGATGAATGAAGGAGTCAAGGAGTTCACGAGAGAACAGCAACCACGGTGGTGGTAGCAGTGACAGAGGAAGCGACAAGGAGGTGGGCTGCTGCCGACGGGAGGGGGGGGGCAGGGGGGGTTTTGGAATCATCAACCACCCCGACTGCTTCACTCTCAATTCTATCCAGTGCAGTGAGGTAGGAACTGGGTGCTCTGCCCCAGATGTGACAGCAGCAGGCTTCCAAAGTGCACTTCGTGCAGGAGTAATAATATAATCGTTTGGAATTAGAAGACTCTGGCAAAGAACGCGAGCACGCGCGTGTGCGTGCGTGCGCGGGGAGCGGCAGTGTAGCGGTTAGCACGCTGCTCTACAAACCTGGCGACCCGGGTTCGATTCCCGCTCACGGCCAACATCAGTGACAATTATCTGAACCGGTCTTGGGCCTCCCCTCAATTGAGTACATGATGTGGCGTGTAAACATCACCACTAGGGAGACAAAAGGCGGCAGGAAATGGTGTTGGCCATCCATCCCTTCGGCCTTCATAGGTGCTACTCACAGCCCTTGCCCCAACAGTCTGTTCAGGCTATACTGGGGGGGGCGCTACCGGCGCTACCAGCCAGGCCACGCGGTCCCCAGCTGCCCCACCTCGGGCTACCCGGCTCACCAGCGAGGTGTGCGAGGGCGGCCCTTCGGGCGGGGTACCACCACACCGTCTTGTACAGGTTCACATAGTGCATGCACAGTGCCAGCAGCAGGTACGCCAGCAGCAGCGCCTCGAAGACGAGCCCGCTGTCCAGCGCCACGTCCGGCACGCGTGCGTGCTTGATTTGGTACGGCCCGCTCGCCGCGGCCAGTGGGGGGCTATTCAGCCCCGAGGCCGTACCATTCCTACCACAGGGGAGGGGGGAAAAGCAGATTCATTTTAGTCAACAGGAGATGTGATGATTCATCGATGGGTATCGATTATTAAACTCGTGATACATAGAATATAAGCGCCAACAAAACGTGGTCACACGTGTATGCATACATAAATACATACACACACACCTATAAAAAGACAAAGATCACCCGTATAGCCTTAACAGACTGTAGGAGCAAGTGCTGGTTACAGGGATGGTCTATACCGTGGGTTGCATGGCGAGACTAGCACGGTGTCTTTACATTTCCCTTCTAACCCTGTGCTGGCGTTAGCATTCCACGGTCCGTGTTTCTCTCCAACTCCGTCTCCTCCGCCGCCACCGCGTTTTACTCGGCGTTAGCGATCAATGTGATTCCGAATCAATTTGCGCGTGTTCTGTGTTTATTGCACTTTGTTTTTAGCTTCACGGTTTTTTGGTGACCGTCCCTTTTTAGCATCCCCTTTCAGCGAGCGGGGCTTGCGTTTGTTAACTTGGGTTTCCTGGTGGCTGCTGTGGCCGGGAAAACACTTCCACGGCGAGTACTGTACACCACCAGTACAGTGCACAAACTCCACACAGTGCCGTGGGTTTATTTACCGAAGAATGAATGCATAGATATGAATTTACATTCACGTTCAGACGTGTTTGTATTGCTAGTTGGCACGTATAGGGTGGTTGGCAATATGCTACGTCGTACAGTTCGAGTCTAATGGATCATTGCCGCGGGACTCGGGATTTCTCATCATTGTTGAGTGTCTCACGGCCGTGCAATGAATTCTCTCACTGTTGTTGTAAATAGCACGCTCAGCCCCGTTTCTTGCAGTGTCTCACTGGCAGCTGCAGCCTCTATGAGAAACTAAAAACGACGCGAAACTATTTTTTTATTTTACCAGGTAAGGCCCAATGAGCTGCTGTGTAACTCTTTTTCGGAAGCGACCTGGCGATCACAAATGATAGCTCAACCAAGTGTCTTGTTGTTATCATGTGGACATTCATAGTAGCTGCCAATTTACTCTAAGCGCACTTTGATTCTAAATGTGGAGAATCCACGTGATCAAGGGGAGAGAGAGAGACAAACAAACTCCAAATATACAGAAGATGTCAGGGTTTGGAAAAAAAAACCCCGACCTCCTGTAGACCAGGCGAGGTAGTCAACATCTCGAAACCTTCAAGCGGGGAAACTAGTCACAACTGGCCTAGGTTACTATTATTATTTAATTCACCATGAGGGAAGGGGGTGTTCACTAAGTGGTGAAAATTAGTTTCCTATTGCTGCTATCCAAACTCATTTAATAAACCCCAAACCGCCCCCTTCTTTTAAAAAATATCAGACTTGCGCTTGCCCGCTGCGTGACAGGTAAATGTTTATGTGCCGAGGTTTCTCTCGGTTTCTGGGCGTTCTGCTTCAATTTGGGGTTCCCACCCCAAGATGTTTCGATAGGAGGAGGGGGGGGGGTCTCACCGATTTGTTTGGGGTTAATACGGACGCTGCATAGGTTATCATTGGGTGCAGCAGCTTGCCGGATCGGGACTACACCCTACGAGTTCTGGCGAGTTGGGCTTTCCCCGTAAATGTACCCAACGGTGTGCACCGCTGGGTCCACGCGGAACGCCGCGGCAGCTGCGGATTGCCGTGCGAGGCGAGTTGTCATCGGGGACGTCAAAGGAGCCGTGACCGGTGGCCGAGTGCGGTGCGTCTGGTAAATGGCCCCCAACTCACGGCGGATGTGAAGAGAGAAATGTGCCGTTGTACGATCAACGAAAAAACTCAACGCGTTCGCCAGTAACCCTGCGGCCTTAAACAGAAAAACATACAAAGGGCGACATTTCGTGCAATGTGTTTTGATGAAGGCCCACGACACGAAACGTCCACTAATATAGATTTGTTTTCCGTATTTTAGGTCGCAGTGTTATTGACGAATGCGTTGAGTTTTTTGTTTGTTACTTGCGATTTTGCACCACTGCCCAAAGCGGCGGCAGTGGCGGCATCGCCACTGGATAATCAGTTGCACAATTAGCCACATGACGACGAAAGCAGGAGAGCGAGCGCCGGTCGAGTGGGGGGGGGCGGTACCTGCCGGAGCCCCCCACTCCTCCCTGCGCAGGAAGGGGCACGCGGGGGTACTGCTGCCGGGCTGGGCCCCTGCGGCCTCCCGCCATCCCGGGGACCGCTCCACGTGTTACCCAGTCGCCCGCTGTGTCTGCAAGCCACAGGGGTGTCACACGCAACGCACAAACACGCGATGCACAAACACGCGATGCACAAACACGCGACGCACCAACGCACAAACACACAACACACACAGCACACACAGCACACAACACATATACACAACACACACAAACGCAACACACACGAAACAATACACATGCAACACGCACGCAGCACACACCCAGCGCACAAAACACACAACACACATATAACACACACGCAACACAACACACAACACGCACAAAACACACACGCAACATACATAACACACACGCAACGCACCAAACACACAGACAATACACACGCAACACACATGTAAATATCCATCATTTCCCGAAGGAGTGTGCATTGTGGTGATTAGGACGGGAAGTGAGAATTCATACACGAGTAGAGACACAGCAACAAGCAGTGCACAGATGCGTGTACAGGACCTACAAAAACTAAATTCTTTTTAGTTTTACCAGGTGATGCTCACTGAGCTATGTAGCTCTTTTTCACAAGCGACCTGGCCACACATGACAGCTCAACGAAGTGGCCTATCATCACGTGAAAGTGTATAGCAGCCAAACACTCGAAACGCGTGTTTCTAAATGTGGAGGGGAAAACCGGAAGCCTCTGAGAAAAATCCCCGTGACCACGGGGCGTTAAGAGTCAGAATAGAACCCACGACGTCGTGTATACAAGGCGAGGTAGTTAACATCTCCTCGCCACCCTGGGGACCGAGGTGTCCACACACACTCGCTCACCCCTCGCCACTCTTCTATAGCTACCGCCATGGTCACTCTTCCCATGAACTTCACTCAATGGTTCCACCACCACCACCACCCATGTTGAGGTCGACCAGAATGTTTCAACTCATTCATCCTGTGTTCAACCACCACACTGCAGGACACAACAACACCCACTCACCCACACACTTACCACACTGCAGGACACAACACCCACTCACCCACCCACTCATCCACCCACTCACTCACCACACTGCATGACACAACAACACCCACTCACCCACACACTAACCCACTCACTCACCACGCTGCTGGATACAACAACACCTACTCACCCATCCACCCACCCACTCACTCACCACACTGCTGGACACAACACTCACCCACCTACTCACCCACCCACCACACTGCTGACGGTGACGTCACCACGACGCTTGTGCCAGGCCATGTGCACCTTGAGGCCACACCCACTCACTCACCCACTCACTCACCACACTGCAGGACACAACAACACTCACCCACCTACTCACCCACTCACTCACCACACTGCAGGACACAACAACACTCACCCACCTACTCACCCACCTACACACTCACCCACCCACTCACCCACCCACTCACCACACTGCAGGACACAACAACACTCACCCACCTACTCACCCACTCACTCACCACACTGCAGGACACAACAACACTCACCCACCTACTCACCCACCTACTCACCCACCTACACACTCACCCACCCACTCACCACACTGCAGGACACAACAACACTCACCCACCTACTCACCCACTCACTCACCACACTGCAGGACACAACAACACTCACCCACCTACTCACCCACCTACACACCCACCTACACACTCACCCACCCACTCACCACACTGCAGGACACAACAACACTCACCCACCTACTCACCCACTCACTCACCACACTGCAGGACACAACAACACTCACCCACCTACTCACCCACCTACTCACCCAGCTACACACTCACCCACCCACTCACCACACTGCAGGACACAACACTCACCCACCTACTCACCCACCTACTCACCCACCTACACACTCACCCACCCACTCACCACACTGCAGGACACAACAACACTCACCCACCTACTCACCCACTCACTCACCACACTGCAGGACACAACAACAGTCACCCACCTACTCACCCACCTACTCACCCACCTACACACTCACCCACCCACTCACCACACTGCAGGACACAACAACACTCACCCACCTACTCACCCACTCACTCACCACACTGCAGGACACCACAACACTCACCCACCTACTCACCCACCTACACACTCACCCACCCACTCACCACACTGCAGGACACCACAACACTCACCCACCTACTCACCCACCTACACACTCACCCACCCACTCACCACACTGCAGGACACAACAACACTCACCCACCTACTCACCCACCTACACACTCACCCACCCACTCACCCACCTACACACTCACCCACCCACTCACCCACCTACACACTCACCCACCCACTCACCCACCTACACACTCACCCACCCACTCACCCACCTACACACTCACCCACCCACGCACCACTCTGCAGGACACCACAACTTGTATTTTAGTTGTTTGCCCTCCCATTGCTCCACTTTGCAATTCCCTTTCACCAAGCTCTTGCGAATAACCTCGTTCAATCCAATAAACGTGTTCAACTCTTGCACGTGACAACTTTGACAGTGCTGTTCTATGATTGCAGTATGTTCACAACGCGTGTCTGTGTACATTCACAGTACTGTCAATGTACACGTGTGTACATTTAAATGTGTGATTGTACACCTACTCACTCACCACACTGCAGGACACAAAAACACCCACTCACCCACCTCTTCCCTCACCCACTCACTCACCACACTACACCTGTGTCCGTATACGTGTACATAGACACGTATGCATGGAGACGTGTACACGTATACACGTGCATACGTGTCGTGTACGGCGGGGTGTGTAGCAGCTAGCGCGCACTGCGCTACTAACCCTGCGACCCGAGTCGGATGCCCGCCCAGGGCTCACAACACGAGTGAACCGATCTTGGGCCTGCCCTAGGTCGCCTCAGCCTCAAACAGAGTGCCCGGTGCGGCGTGCGTCGTCAACATCGCCACCAGGGAGCCGAGAGGCGGCCGGGCGCGGCGCTCGCCCCCCCCCGCCCCCCATCTCGTCTGCCACGCTGCCGGCAGCAGCACCCCTCGCTGCTGCTGCTGCTGCTGCTCACAGCGCGCCTTGCCCCTGCAGTCTGTGCTGGGGGCTGTGTGCGTGCGCCTGTACCCGTCTCGGCGTGGTGGCTGGCGCATAGGAGGAGGAGGAGGAGGCTGATGAGGAGGTTCCCAGGCACCCGAGTTCGACACCGGATCCCCGCGCCGCGCCCGTCAGTGGCAACTCGCCGCGCGCTGCGGCGGGGCCGGCTGCCCGCCGAGTCGCACCGAGTCGCACGGAGTCGCACGGAGTCGTTGCCCCGATGAGTCGCACGGAGTCGCCGTCGCCTTCCCCACAGCGACTCTTTGCTACTGTACGAGACGCGTGGCGAGCGGCGTCGTGACGTCACGACGCAGCGCGCGCTGCGTTTACGCGGTGACGTCACGACGCACGGCGTCGCCGAGGGGTTGGGCGGTGACGTCACGACGTTAGTCTCCAGGGCAGAGACGTTTCGTCGTCCGTGCGCCTCCTCCTGCCGATGTTTGGCTCCCCTCAGTAAAAACGAGACATGTATTTTGTTGACGCATCACGCGGGCAAATAACCCCGCAACCTCGCAGGGCGTGGCCACAGATGTCTGGACATCTGTGGCTGCGCACGGTGCGAAAGAAGTTCCGCAAACGTACAAGAAAGAGCTTCATAGCTCATCGGATTTGTCGAGTATAGGATACATCAATATGTCTGATTCTGCACTGCGGAGGAAGAGGGAGGAACTGAGAAAGGGGCGGGCAGTGGGCGGCACGAAGGGGGCTCCAGACAGTGGGAGCAGCAGCAGCAGCAGGGGGGGGGAGGAGGAGAAGGCGCGAGCTGCGGCCGAGCGGGCGGCAGTGCCGCTGCTGCTGATGCTGCTGCGGCCTCTGTCGGTGACTGCAGCGGTAGCAGCAGCTGCAGCAGCAGGAGGGGAGGCAGCAGCAGCAGGAGGGGAGGCAGCAGCAGCAGCAGGGGAGGCAGCAGCAGCAGCAGGAGGGGAGGCAGCAGCAGCAGGAGGGGAGGCAGCAGCAGCAGGAGGGGAGGCAGCAGCAGCAGCAGGAGGGGAGGCAGCAGCAGCAGGAGGGGAGGCAGCAGCAGCAGCAGGAGGGGAGGCAGCAGCAGCAGGAGGGGAGGCAGCAGCAGCAGGAGGGAGGCAGCGCAGGCAGGGGAGGCAGCAGAGGGGAGGCAGCAGCAGCAGGGGAGCAGCAGCAGCAGGGGAGGCAGCAGCAGCAGCAGGAGGGGAGGCAGCAGCAGCAGCAGGGGAGGCAGCAGCAGCAGCAGGGGAGGCAAGCAGCAGCAGCAGGAGGGGAGGCAGCAGCAGCAGCAGGGGAGGCAAGCAGCAGCAGCAGCAGGGGAGGCAGCAGCAGCAGCAGGGGAGCAGCAGCAGCAGCAGGGAGGCAGCAGCAGCAGCAGGAGGGGAGGCAGCAGCAGCAGCAGGGGAGGCAGCAGCAGCAGGGGAGGCAGCAGCAGCAGCAGGGGAGGCAGCAGCAGCAGCAGGGGAGGCAGCAGCAGCAGCAGGGGAGGCAGCAGCAGCAGCAGGGGAGGCAGCAGCAGCAGCAGGAGGGGATCGGCAGCAGCAGCAGGAGGAGGGGAGGCAGCAGCAGCAGCAGCAGGGGAGGCAGCAGCAGCAGCAGGGGAGGCAGCAGCAGCAGCAGGAGGGGAGGCAGCAGCAGCAGGAGGAGGGGAGGCAGCAGCAGCAGGAGGGGAGGCAGCAGCAGCAGCAGGAGTGGAGGCAGCAGCAGCAGGAGGAGGGGAGGCAGCAGCAGCAGGAGGAGGGGAGGCAGCAGCAGCAGGAGGGGAGGCAGCAGCAGCAGCAGGGGAGGCAGCAGCGCAGGGGATGGCAGCAGCAGCAGCAGGAGGGGAGGCAGCAGCAGCAGCAGGGAGGCAGGCAGCGCAGCAGCAGGGGAGGCAGCAGCCGCAGAGGGGCAGCGAGCAGAAGGGGAGGCAGCAGCAGCAGCGCAGGGGAGGCAGCAGCAGCAGGAGGGGAGGCAGCAGCAGCAGGAGGGGAGGCAGCAGCAGCAGCAGGGGAGGGCAGCAGCAGGAGGGGACGGCAGCAGCAGCAGGAGGGGAGGCAGCAGCAAGCAGCAGCAGGGGAGGCAGCAGCAGCAGGCAGGGAGGCAGCAGCAGCAGCAGGAGGGGAGGCAGCAGCAGCAGCAGCAGGGGAGGCAGCAGCAGCAGCAGGAGGGAGGGCAGCAGGCAGCAGCAGGGGAGGCAGCAGCAGCAGGAGGGGAGGCAGCAGCAGCAGCGAGGGAGGGAAGGCAGCAGCAGCAGCAGCAGGGGAGGCAGCAGCAGCAGCAGGGGAGGCAGCAGCAGCAGCAGGAGGGCAGGCAGCAGCAGCAGGAGGGGAGGCAGCAGCAGCAGGAGGGAGGCAGCAGCAGCAGCAGGGGAAGGCAGCAGCAGCAGGAGGGGATGGCAGCAGCAGCAGGAGGGGAGGCAGCAGCAGCAGCAGCAGGGGAGGAGCGCAGCAGCAGCAGCAGGGGAGGCAGCAGCAGCAGCAGGGGATGGCAGCAGCAGCAGCAGGAGGGGGAGGCAGCAGCAGCAGCTGCTTGCCAGCAGGTGGCGCTGCAGCAGCGTGCGAGAGAGACGTGAAGATGGATTATTGCCAGCTCATGTATATTTATTATATTCTCCGCAACGCCGAATAATTGACTGCTGATGAGACGCCGCATGTTGAAACCGGTCCAAAGTTTGCTGCTGTTGCACAATGCTGTATGTATGTTCAACTTTTTTTCTCACCGTACATAGACAACTATGCTAATCGAAGATGACTGCAGCGGTAGCACACAAAAAGCAATTCTACACAAATTAGTTTTGAATCTAGATGCTTTAAAATGCCGCAGAAGTGCATCTGAAAGCACGCGATTGTTCGACGTTTCGCTGAAAGCCCCTGCGATGATGACCAGAGTTTGCATGATGGTTTATCCTCCTTGACGAGATCCGCAAGGTATTGTGGTTCATTTGTGGCAAACTACAATCGCTGAGTGTTTTGTCACTGTGGTTGTCCCCACCTGGTGACGGACGCTTGTGTTGCGCCCAAAACGTCGTGATGTTTATTTTATTTTCACCTACGTGACTTTACCGAAAGAACCAAAGAGTATGGATCCTTACAGTCACGAACACTTCTAATCTAAAATTAGCTACTACTGGCCAAGACTAATTAGATAATCTATCGAAATTGAAAGAAATAAAAATAATTTTAACCATTTGGATAGCTACCGCCGTGGAAGTGAATAATACAAAAAAATACATTGTTTAAATGCATCCCTATACAGGGCACCATACTTCAATAGGGATTACCGTTGGTACAGCTATTTTAATACACATGAAGTATTTGAATTGACGGCAGGAACTTCTTGACGGGTAACACACTTTTATTAAATCTTGACGTGTCACAATACAACGGGTGGTCTCTATCCTTTGGACTATACACTCCACTTAACTCGTGTAGACTCTATGCTTCTGGCTACACACAATACACTTGACTCGTGTAGACCCTATGCCTCTGGCTACACACAATACACTTGACTCGTGTAGACCCTATGCCTCTGGCTACACACAATGCATTCGGCTCGTGTAGACTCTATGCCTATGGCTACTCGCCTCTGGGTTACACAGAGTCCCGGTCCCGTTAGGACAGCGGGACTAGGTACCGCAGGGCCCTATGTCTTCATCCCCGTCTTCATTCTTCGCTGGTTACATACTGCCCTTACGCCTGTGTGCATCCCCTTTTATAGCCCCTGCTCACGAGAGACGGAGCTGATGCGGACGTCGACGTGAGCATCGCTCCTTAGTGAACCAATCACGACGCACTCTCTCTACGATCCGTTTTCCCCAGCGCGTGTTAACACTACTCCACCAATCACACCGCGCTGCCACCCGGTCACTCCCTCTCAGCGCGTCACCGGCCCACAGCCAATCAGTACCCCGTAACCCACGACCCCGCGCTGACCCCTGATCCTCCACCGTCAGCGCGCGTCACCACATACACAGCCAATCATTACGCGCTGGCATACGATCCCTAATCCCAGCGCGTATCACCACTACACACACAATGTACAGGAAGGACAAGATCAAAGGGCTGGCATAATGGGCATGCATCATGTACATTGACTCATTAACCCCCCCCCCCCCACTTGTGCTGGCTGTCGCCTGATGAAGCTAGTTGTAATTACTGGCGAAACGTCGTACTCAGATGGTAAATGTTGTGGCTTGGCTCTCCAACACACCGGTTAGTGCTGTACTAGTTACGAATTGGCATGTTCTGTTTCCGAGATAGCAGTTACTAGTTGGCTGTGTCGGGTGGTGGCGGGTTTTAAGGACTCATTTATATATTTAAGTCTGCGATCTAACCCTAAAAAACCTCTTATGGATGATATTGGTCGCGAAAGCCGACGTGTTAAACTCACCTTTACGTTGTTTAGCCACTGGATGGTTGCTTTCCGCGGGTCCTTACGCCTCATAGGATCCAGCCAGAATGGACATGAATTGCAAAAGCCCCATTAAACAAAAATATTGTTAAGCAATGTGCCTCCATGCCTTATGATTTAACAGCAAGTAATGTCACATCGCATTACTCCCCAGCGCACAGTCTAGCTCCAGTGTCATAAAAGCCATGGACGCCTCCGTTTGAGTCACCTGTAACTAAAAGGGCTAAAATCTCCCAGAGTGGTTCCTTTACATTCTGTGCCAGGGCTGCATAGGTGCCCCTCCAGGCGGAGGAGAAAGAAAAAAACACCGCAGAAAAGCCCACGGCTGATGCTTTGCGCGTTGTGTTTAAGCCACAGAGGTTGTATAATTCACTTTTGCTCTGACACACTATTTTTTAAAATCCATAATCCAATGCGCAATAAAAGTTGTTTTACAATTGCAGTGACATGGAATGGGTCACTATGGCGCATAGCGCTGTCTGCCAGCAGGTCACGTGATAGGCCGGAGAAGGGGATGTGGGGCAAAGGTGACAGAGGGGGCACGCGAGGTAAAGCCTGGGAACCTTCTCGTGGGTTCTAGAAGGGGGGCGTGGCCGAGGGGGCGGGGCGAGGCCACGCTGGGTGGATAAAAGGGGGACCCCGAGCAAGGTGCGGGGCTGTTGTTGGAGTGGAACCGTCGTGCTGCTGGAGCGTTGTTGGTCAGGCAGCTTGTTCGCTGTCATGACCACAGTATAGTTACCCCTCGTGCCTGTGAAGGCGATAATAAATATAGTACCTCCTACTATTGGTGTCTCTGAGTGATTCACTACACAATGACTCAAAACATTTATCTAGAACTTTGTAAAGTGTTCGGAAAGCAAAACGAAATGCTGTATACAAGAAGGCAGTGGAGCTGATGGGATGTGTTCAACAATGTGGAGGTG